CAGACGATCCTCTTTCTCAATTAACGCTACCCGCGTTCTCCGTTGAGCACAATGGACGAGTCTCCGATACCAACCGTATCGTGCTGTCCCCCCACAAGCTCTCGTTATCAGAGGCACGACTTGCGTGACGTTTACGTTTCGCTGCATTTCGCCATGTTGGCCTGCAAGCGCAAAGATTACAGTCAATCGTGACCCCCCACAGACATCTCCTCATTGTGGTCGCATCGTGATATGGGCGACTGTTGTCATGGTATCCTAGAGAGAAGATGGAGAAAACCAAAGACAAAGAGAATGGCCCCACTGCGAATAATCCTGCGCAGACACCACCGTGTGGTTGGGAAGCGGAACTATCTGAAGGGATCATCCCTCTCCGGAGGCTCAAGCCGGAATGATCTGACAGGGACGGGTTCGTTTGATCTTTTTCGGTAGCTGGACAATGTCAAGAAGTGTTTGTTTGGCTCTCGCGCGCGAGTATCGCGTCTTGTTCTTGCTTTGGTGGCAGCAAATTGCAATGCCGATGAGGATATGGCGGCATCCCCTCGGTCTTGGTGTTGTTTGCTCGGCCAAAGGGGCTGCCAGTGACATGCCAGCGATCAGAGACATGCGACGAGCCTGACGACGAGCCTGCAGGCGGGTGTGTCTGACAAGGTGACGGCGTCGCATCATGAATCGAGGTGCGCACATTTCCCAAAGACACCAAGGAGACGGTACGGAGTGAAGCGCAGACAAGACGTGCATCGCAATGTCGGTCCCGTTCGATGTGCAACCAAAGCTGGCCAGAGAGCCGTCCGATGGCTTGATTGTGATGTGACTGCCCAACTATCGCTGCTCGTGGCAGGCCATGTCCCGCCCTTCGCTGTCCGGAGTAAGCAGACGGCGGGCCTTCCCGCAAGCGATGTGCGAGCTTGCATCCGTACAACGTCGGTCAGATTAAGGAGCATGGCCGATCTCATCAGCGAGGGCAAAAAAGCACCACCTTTGCTGAACAATGTGTTTGAAGCCGTAGCAATCGCAGTGGGCTCGTTGCTCGCCTGGTCGCCTAGACAAAAAAAAGAGAGAGTACCCCGTAGCCTGCTGGGGTGGCCAGAATTCTCGAGATGACTCCCCTCCCCGCCTGGCGACCAGGGCAAGCTGAAGATTGCGATTTGCGCGCGAGACCTAAGGTGCGTCGCTCAAGGATACGGTGGCATCCCGATAGGCCGACTGGGTCTTTCTCCAGCCGGCAGCCCTTCTCGAGATGGGTGCTGTGATGCATGGTCAAGGTCGTCTCCCGCGCCCAATTCAGTGATTCTCAGTAGTGTGTGTGCGAGCAGCGGAGGTCAGGATGGGTGGGATTTGTAGCATGGATGCGTTGGCCAAACGAGTATGGAGGTTGCCTGACGCATATTGGTGCACTCCGTACTTTGTGGGACGTTATGCCGGCAGCCATCTGAATCACTGCGTCTGACACTGTTGAGGAGCGCAGGCGAAGCATGTCACGTCGACGACGTGAGCTGGCGAGGCAGTCGAAGGCCAAGTCTTGAGTAGGATAACCCCGCGGTATCACTTTTTGGGGGCCACGCGTGGTTGAGCTGCATGTGGCGTCAGGATGGGCTGGAGGAACGTTGCAGGTTGGAAGAAGAAGCTATTTCCAGTGCGTCTCCGGGCAGAGACCCAGGTTCCGGCTGCTGTGACGAGATCCAAGAGTGGAAGCAGCCTGGGATGTACCGGCCAGTGATGTTGATGTCGCGTTGCTTTGGCGTCATGGGTGAAGTCATTGAACTGGCATGTTTCCTTCTAGTCCACACGCACATGGGGCATGGCATGTTCGAGTTCATGTTGTTGCTTTTTTGGTGAGGCTCCGTCGGGAGAAAGCATCGGATCCATGCGATGGAGACGAAGTACCTGACCAAGTACCCAGCAAACTTGCAAGGAAGGAACCGGGACACTGGACCTTCCATTGTCTGTGGTGTCAGGCTGTCAAGGTGCGCAACTGGCACTGGGAACTTGGGAAAGAAGGCACCGGCCTCCGGGACACCGTGCTTGCTGTCCTTGGGCGTGCCTGATCGGAACAACCTGTTTCTCCATGAGGCAATGGCTGGGAACTGCGCCGGGAAAAGAACAGCCAGGAACCGGGACGACTACCAACAATGATGCGAGCAAACATTCCGAATTATCGGTCTGACAGGGCAGGGCCCCTGGAATCAATTTCAATGCTGAGGGTTTGGCTATGCGTCCAAGAGGCACAAGAGGTACCTCCAGCCAACCGTTACGACAAACCCCAATGGCGAGTCACAAACAGGGGGAGAATTTTCGCGCCTTGAGCCTTGGGCAGCTGAACTATGGGGACCCTGGAACCAACCCATCCAGATAAGATGCGAGCTTACTACACAGTAAGAAAGAAGATCAGTAAGCCGCATACGAGACTTAACCTTTGGCGATTATTAGGTATACTGTAAGGAAACGGTCGGATACGAAAAAACAACAAGGAAGCACTATCAAAGAGCCACAGCGAGCAATGAGACGAGAGGCCGGGCTTGGCAGCCAAGTGGAAACACTGCGATGGAGCCTTTGTAGAGCCCGACTCGACTCAGAATAAGGGTACCAGGCCTTCCGCGACTGGTGGCTCCGTAGATGGGACTCGAGGGAGAAGAACCAAAAGTATCCGTCCTCGGAGGGAACCTCCTCAACCCACTCGCGAGATGAGCAAAAGTGTTGGTCATCATGCTCAATGCGCGCCGATCGTTCAAAGCAAGCCGGACAAGACGACCCTCAGCCGTCAGTGCGAGACATGCAAATCCACTACACATTGCGTTGGATAGCTGTTGTTGTTCGTTCTTGTTTGCTGTCACGGAACAGGCATCTGCCTTGCTGCTGGTCCTGTAAGGCAACCGAATCAAAGGGCGTTCGGGAACCACTCGAATCCGCCGTCCATCGTGCGATGCAGTCAACCAGTGTCTCTGTTTCTCTTGTCCACCGACCGGTCCTTCGTCTCTTGACTCAAATCTCAATCTTTCCGAAGCCTCTTTGATGGGTGGTGGATTCGGCCCGCGCGCGTGAAACGTCCAGGATCAAAAAATTGATTCGCAAAATATATCAGATTGTCTAGGGTCAGCTGACAGGAGATTGAGATTGCACTCGGCGAGAATGCAGCCTCGTGTCACTGTCGTCGCCGCCGAGTTCCTCGCTGGTTACGATCAGCAAAAAAGCTAGCTAGCTGAACAGAGTTCCCCCCTTGTTGGTTCCCTCGAGAGAGTGATATCCTGCGTGGGGAACACAACGAGGTCTGAGAGTCGACAGCAGAGAGAAAAGAGACACCGCTTTCTTTCTCGCCCGCCGCAACACGTGCCAAGAAACAGCAAGGCAGGACTGGAAAGCTTGGCTTTCGCAACGGCGCATGCCAAAAGTGCCTCTATATACCCTAACCGGCCAGGCTGCGATATGTACAGGGATGCCGATTATCCTGCGCAGGCAGAGCTATTGTGCTTGTGTCGGCTGTGGCCCGGTCTGGTGTTGTATCTGATTCCTCGTAGACAGGCACTATAAGATTAGGGTATGCGCGGGTGCGGTTGTCATGCTGGGCGGCTGCGGCTGATGATACGAGACGAGCCGGGGGAGGGAACTCAACGGGCGAAATGATCAAAGAAGCGCTATACCTATCTGTCCAGGGTAGGGTCCTGACTACTGAGTCGGGCAGGGCGCCGAACAAAACCAGACAATGGAAGACGTGGAAGCCCGCTCGTCCTCCGTACCGACGCTGATGACGGCGAGTGAGCCGTGCAGTCCCTCGCAACTCCTAGGTCAAGACTGTAAGTGGCGGCAGAAGCGAGATGGTGGGCAAGCGGGCTACGGGCTGCACCCGCGCGACCATGCCTCCAGATTACCTTGGCTCTTGCGAGAACCACAAGGCTTGGTACGGCAAGTCGGCATCGTGAGGAACGGAGACGTCGCCCCAATGTGGCCAGCAAAGACGACAGCATGGCCGCCTTGGCCTCGGCCACGCGAGGGATCGTCCGTCGGAATGAGGTCAGCCCACGGCAAACTGGAGTAAACGCGGGTCGACAGCCCGAGACAATGACGGGCCTGGGAGTCTGTGAATAGGGCAGAAGAAACAGGAACTCGGAGTTGCTCGTTGGTGCTCGACTCTTCCCAACAAGCCACCTCCCCGCCGGGTTTGCGGCCATTAACCGGAGTTGTTTTTTTGCCTCACAACTGGTCACTTTGCTTGCGGGTTTATGCTGCCGTCATTCTTGGCAACGGGCGGATGAAACTGTCTTGTCGCCAGCTCAGATTCACACAATCGTGCCATGGTAGATTGTGTAATGTCACGCGGTAGAATGAGCCCAGGGCCCTTTGAGTTCTTGGGAAAGTCAACACCGGTCCGTGTCCACCGCGTGTGTAGCAAAAGCGTAAACGGTCTCTATGCGGACCAGCCCACAACTCCATTCATGGATGGAGATTACTGTACAGACTATAGCGCACTGTACTCCGTGGAGACTGCGGGTACGAATACTAGAAGAAGGCCGAGGGGGCCGGAGTTCCTTGGTAGCAACCGATGAGACTGTATCCGTATCCGCGGGCTTTGGCGCAACTCCATCTCTCCAGGCTCCAGCATTTCCACGGTTGCGGTTGGTAGATTCTGAGCGGCACAGCCTGGCAACTTCCGAGGACATGTGTGTATCTCCTCGAGGCTTGCCAGTAGCGCCGTGTCAAAAGCCCAGGGGAGAAGCACGTGTGTCGTCCATGGACCATCCCCCACATCAGACATGGCGCTGGCGGCTGGCGGTGAGACGGGGCCAAGTGTGAGATGCTCCGTAGCACAAGAAATATCTCCAAATCGGCCCAAAAATGGAAGAAAGAAAACAAAAAAGGCAAAAAGTTTAAGTAGAATGCCTGCTCCGCTTAGGGCAGCCCCAGTGGCATGGGGCAAGCGCCGAGCCGCAAAGGGGATACTCGCAATGTGAGACCCCAGACTGCCCGAGCTGCGACAGAGGAGATGAAGATGGCGCGCACCTCAGCTGTCAAGGCCTGTCTCTCCATGGACAATCCAAGGTGGCCTTATGCCATACGGGTGGGCGTGTGCTTCTGGTGAAAGGACAACATGGCGATAGCGACATTTCCCGTCTGACCATCCGGCCGTGAGGATTCAAAGACTGTTCGGCTCGAGAGCATGATTCCAGTCGACTTTGCAGCGGCTGTCGCCCCCAAAATGCCAGCAGTGTTGATCTGGAGCGGTCCAAAGGGCGAACGGGAAGTGAGTACCGCGCCATTTTCTCGGGCATCATCGTCCCGACTAACACGCCGGAGAGAGTTGTCAAACGACACCCTCGGGCTGGGCCTCTCCCGCTGGCGCGTGGGCAATCTCGTCGGACTCGCTTCTTCTCAAAGGGGGGAAGACTGAAGCTGCGAAGCAACATCGCATGGCATGGCATGGCATGGCATGGCGCGGATTGGATTAGACTTGGGGGCGAGTGATGACTTTTGTGGTCAAAGACCAGGGTGACAAATGGACGACCATCCGCAGGCCATGATACCTTCCCATTCCTCTCCCTCTGCCTGGGCCCGATGTGCAAGGTGCATTCTGAGCCCATGTGAGCAGCCCCCGACAGCGCCGAAGAAACGAGGTCGCAAGACAAGTAAGCGCGTGTGGCAGAGTGTCGAGCGGTGACTATCCAACTAGACGGGCGGAATGGGATATTTGGATTAGAGCAGGGGGGTTCATGGCCTCGATTCAGAGATACGATATGCCACCCCCCTCGTCCCCTACCCTGGCGATTGGGTCGAGGGAGAAGAATGGGTGTACTCTCTGTACGAGCGTGTGCGCGTTTGGCCAAGCAGACGGAGGGATCGGGAGAATAGCACCTCAGGAGGGCGGGAGATTTGCTGCCTTGTCGGCATCCGATTTGTCGTAGAAAGAGAGTAAAAGAGCGAGTAGTCGAAAAGTGTGACAGCGTCTGCTTGGGTGAGGCGACCGGGGAACGTGGTTGTGTTTGGGAAAGGCCCTCGTGACCCCATTTTGGAATTATTTCTGACTGCGGTCGACTGCGTACTTTGACAGTAGAGACTAGGGTACGGGGGCAATGGCCCCCAGAAACAGAGCCCAAGGTCCTGAAGTGATTGTTGCGACACGAGCAAAGACGTTGGGTTGGGTTTCTCCTTCTCTTGCGTGCCCCCCCCCAATATTCGTAGTCCCATGTCGATAGCCCAATTGCTTACCCCTGCCGTCGAGATGGGCAACTTCGGCGCCGCCGTCACCCTCTCGTCTGGTGTCTGCGCTTGCAAGGTGCGATTCTCAATCTCAAAAGTCGCGATGGTTGCTGCTCACAGACCAATGGAAGAAAGACACCACACCGCTCGCATCGTACCGCGCCGAGTGGGCGGGAAAGGGACTGCCGTCTCGTTCCCATCCCCATCCCCATCCACGGGGGAAACATTACACAGAGCCTTCTTTGGATCAAGGCATCTCGTCGGGCCCAACCAAGAGTGATGTGAAGTCCGACGCACTTTGAAGCTGGGTGTAGAGGCGGGAAGGAGGGGTTCTCTGAACTTCTGGAGTTAGCGGTTGCTAAATTCGTTCGACCCGTTGCTAGTGTACGTATACCGAACTTGCTGCTTCCTTCAGGTTCCCAAGTACGTATATGCTTAGATAAGACAGCTTTAGGTAATCACTCGACCCACCATCCTCCCTCTCCAAAATTGCAACCTCCAAGTCCCAACCGTGATGACGGCACCCCAAGAACGAAACACCATCCATCGACAAGGGACCCTCGACCACCAGCCCGACGTGGGGAGGGACCCCCTTCGGCAGCGGTTCGGTGCAGCGCAGGGCTGCTTGCTTGCTGCTTGCTTCGGGGGCCCAGGATTCTCCTCAGCACCGGATACCCAGAAATCACTGGCCCAGATTGCGGATCCCCTTTGGCCTTTGTGCCCTTTTCTTTGTTCCCCCTTGTCCGCCGCAGCTTGTCCCTGGCCGGGATTGGGGTTCTTGTATGCCCCTTCGACGCGTCTTCAACCTTCGAACCGGCTTCGAGAAAACTACGTCACTCAAGGGGGCCGCACCCAATGGGAGCCCAACGATGACTGCTTTTCCTCGGCCCTCGACGCTATTTCCGCCCCTGTGGTGTGACTGTTCCATCACTCGCCTGCTCCTATCCTGTTGTCGACCAAGGCATCATTGCCGGAGGCGTTTGATCACATCCCACGCTCTTTACCGCCGGTGTGGTCACCGCTGTGCGAGGCACAAAGTTACAATTCGAGAGGCTCTGTTCCCATCGCGGCGGCGGTGAGCAGCACCCATTGCAGGGGCCTAAAGAGCATGACCAGGGAATCGACCAACCAGCTTCGACCCCCGTCTGACCGCACACCTTGAACGGCGTTGCTCTTCTTCAACAATATCGACTTTCACAGACAAGATCGGCGCATCACGTCCTCCCGGATCTCTGCCGTATTGACCCTCCTTCTCTCACCGTGCCTATCAGTCCCATGCTTCGACCACGCGTACCTGACTGAGCCGGCCCTCTGTCTCGGCGCCAAATAAGGGACAACCAGGCACGGGAGCAGTCTACCGGTTCCGACCCTTGGGTACGGAGACAAACTCCGAGCCTCCATGAGACACCACCGCCATGTTCCGGTCACGCTCCAAGTCCACAAAATCGCACAAGACTAGGACCCCTAACAACGGGAGAGGACGAGGCTCAAAATTGAATGACTCCGACACCCGGTCCGCTGTGCGAGACGACTCGTTGTTTGCGCTCAGGGACGTGAGAGGCCCAGGCAGATGGGTGGCCCCGTCAGGGGTCGCCTCGGCCGATTGACTTCAACGTGGCCGGCTGACATGTTGGACGCAACGTCAGTCTGCGCATCAAACACGAACAATGGAGAATAAATGGACAAAAAGAGCAGCGAGTCGACAGGCCTGCCCAAATGCAACACAGACAGGGAGTTCAGCTATTGTCGTTCGCAATATCATTCGCAACTAAGGGAGCCATCCGGCGGCTATCACTCTTCGGCCGGGTGGGTTTTCGTCACCTGGCGGCTGGGCGGTTGATCGGAAAAGACGGTTACCGGCTCAGCAGGATATAGCACAATCGCATGCTTACACTATGCCATTGACACCCGGTCTAACCCGCGTTCGTCTCATCCTTATCGCACGTTTGGCATACGCAGGCAATGACATACATGACGCTGGCGTTGGCTGCATCGCGCAGCAATGTATCTGCCGACTTGTCGACGGCTTGGAGATTGGGGCACGACAGCGCTTGCTAGCTCATCCATTGGAGTCAAGACCATCGGGCCGCGTTCTCATCGCCAAGCGACTGATTGCTGCATACCATCGTGCTGCACGGGCAAATGGCTGCTTAGGCACGTTGATAGAAACCACCACATGACCTGCCTCGTCCGCGAAAAGCAAATGTCGGTGTGATGCACTTCTCAGCGTCCATCCAGCCAAAAATGCAAGTTGGGGAGAAACTCGGCATTCCTCAACCACGACCCTGGTAGCCCGCGGTTTCTTGAACCCCGCAGCGGCCAGTTGGTCGGTCCCCCGGGACTAGCAAGACATGCCCGCCGCATAGGAGCCCGACGGACGTGGTGCTAGCGCCGTAGCTTGCGCTCAACACCTTTTGCGTTCGGCTGGTGGACAGTTTCTCGTTGACCTCTGCGTTATGCTTATTGGAGGTGAGCGCAGCCAAGGCTCAAGACACGAGGCAGTGAAGGACGACAGCGCCAGACAGTCATCTGCAGGAGGACCAGGTTCGGCGGCCAGCTCGTTGGCTATCCTTCTCACAGCACAGCCAACGTGTCTTGGTCGTCGCATCGCATCAGGGCAGGGTAACCAAGACGCGCCTCAGACACGCCAGCAACGCAACAGAATCCAGCAGCGGATCAGAAACAGCAGATTTGCTGCGAGATGTGTGTACCCGCCCTCGCAGGAGTCATCGAGCGCCAGCTGGCCAATCCCCTCTGCTCAGGTGACGCCCATCCGGCGCCGATGATGCGGAGTTGCGTGGTGAGCAGGGGGCCGCGGGCAAGGCTGCATATGGTAGTCCCCAGATGCGATGCTGCAGCTCCGTTGCGTTATTGGTGGTGCCCACGGAAGGACGTTCCCCTCAAGTCTCATCTCGACAGTGCTACTCACAAGGTCAGGTTTGCGGAGTTGGGTGTGGCGGGGGGTCGACCAGCCACTAACCACCCCTCGCATCAGCAACACGATGCAAATTTAGAAGAGGTACGGGCAAAGACAAAACGACATACAGTCAGCCATCTGACGGGACCTGTCAAGTCTCATCTCCACCGCGCCTGTGTTTTCCCTCCTCGACCTCAGTTTGGCCATTCAAGCCATTCTGATGCGGAATGGTTTCGCTGGGCAAAGCGGGCTTCAATGTTTGAGGCAGCGCAAAGTACTGTACTGGACGGGTACTTGCACCATTCGTAATGGTCCTTCAACCACATCTTTACCCGTTGAAATAGGAGCACCGGCTCGGATAGCCACACCCCCCTCCTTCTGCTACGCTGGCCAAGTTTTGATTCGAAGAATGCCATCAGAGACACGCCCAGAGCTCCTCAAAATTAGCACAATTGCCAATGGCTTGCCCAGCTCTCGCTTGAGATCCGAACAGCCGCCTTCGGTGCAGAGAGGGAGCTGATATTGTTATCCAGCCAAGGTCGTGCTGAGGCAAACGAGACAATAGTCGCAGGCCGGATACGCAAACGCAGTATGACGATTTCTGCGGATACTAAGCTCGCCAACTTTTTTTTGTCTTTGGCCCCAATGGCTTCGGCGCCGCCTCCGCGGCCAGCCGGACTGTCAAGCAGCGCGTGCTGATCATCCTTGATGGTGGCGGTCCGTCACCAAGAGTGTGTGGCTTGCCCTGATCTGGTCATCGAACCCCCTTCGACAGTGGCTTCCGCACCAAGATCGTTGATAGCGGCAGCACCACACGAGGCCCTCAGAATGAACGACAGAGAAATCTCTGCCGTTGCTTTCTCATTACCAACGTTTGAGCACTGTGAGTAGAGCAGAGTCAGAACGAACCTCCCTTGCCCGGGTTCCCTGTGCGATGCTACCTACCCCACAACTCGCATTCCTGCGCAACCACGGTTCCCTACCAAGATTGCAGTTCGGCTCTTATGCTGCAAGACACTCGAGCAAATCGCAATATCGCCGACGACGTGCTGTACCAAGCCGCACGTCTCCCCTCACGGTTCCGGCTGCATCTGACCGAGAACGAGTGACCGTGACGGAGGAATTGCGCAGCCTTGATGTGGCAGTAAATTACTGTCCAACTCAACCCGCCGCATCCGTAGATGTCTTGACGAATGACTGATTGCGTGATAACGTCCCGACGTTGAACGACTTTGACTTCATGTCAGCCAGCCGTTGAATCTACCTTGGACGTCACGTCACTCATGATGAATATTCGCCAAGGATGAGGGTTGGGATGGCAATGTAGACACAGCAAAGCCAGGAAAATTTGGGGTCTTTCCCGCACGCATCCTCTCGTCTGTATTTGGACCACGGGGCTCAGCCGGTTTGCTGGCAAGTTTCCGTACGCATTGCGCCGCGGTCCAGTACACCCAGATCACACAGCGGCCGGGCGACTGCTAACCATAGTGATGGATCACTTTCAAATGAAGCCAAGATAGAGAGAGTGCCCGACAGTCAGAGCAGTCCCAACAGGGCGGATTGAGGAGCTGCAACTAAAACCACCCCTGTTCTCGCAGCATCAACAACCATGGGGTCGGTTGAACATCAAAGGCCGTCGACGCATCAAGAAATACTCTCTTCTTTCAACCTCCCAAACAGTAGAATAGACAGAAACGGTCGTGACTCACAAAAGGAATGGGAGCTGATGGGAGAGGATGAAGCAAAAACAGCCCAACCCTGCGACCGCTACCCACCAGCGCCAGTGGACAGCGATCTCCTGTCTAAATTCCCGTAACGTCCATGTTGATCGGTGGAATCCCATACAGGCGGCCCCGGAAGCCACACCCAAACAACCACACAAGATGGCACCCCTGGAGCGGCTCTGTTGATCAGGTCTCACCGTCTCGCAACGGGGCAAGTCAGGGTCTACGTCAAGCAATCGTTGCTATCTTTGGTCGAGGGAGTCGAGGACGAGCTTGGTTTGAAGGCAAAGGGGACACCAATCAAACGGCTCGATAGCCACTCGGACTCTCAGATGATCAAGGCCCTTATTCATTTCTTGATGGTGCGTCTTTGGCCGTGTGCCCACGGTCTGCGATGACCAGCCACACGCTACCGCCACAGGATGCAACACAAGTGGACAATTAGAGTTCTGCTTGGTCGTCTCAAGGTCTCGGGTTTCCTCCGTTGGCGGCAAATTCAGAGCTGTAGGGGCGAACGTCGAGACTATAGCAATTGCCCTCTGGGACACTGAGACGACGAAAACTCCTTGAGCGACAAGAAAACTAGTCTGCAGGAGTCTCTTCCGTCTTTCCCGCGACTTTAGTCCCGACGCTTCCATACTATGGGGTTGAGGGCCCAAAAGCACTACGGGGAAGGCAGCGTCAGTCCGGAGCAAGCGCCGAAGGGTGTACCCTGCTGGAAGACCATTGTAGGCAACCTCTTTGCTTTCCGGTGCTCACCTTGGAAGCGTTACACCCAGACGTTTGATCCGGACAGGAACAATGTGGTGGGGAAGAGCAAATGCGTGCTGAGGTAATGAGGCATTCCCGGTACACCGAAAGATGGGAGGCGTGGGTCACCGCTGAGCATAAGGGAGTCACCTCGACTGGTTGCGGCGCTTTCGGAGGAGCATCCTTGCCCAACGGCTCCCGGTTTGCGTACGAAGTATCTCAGGATCACGATGGAATGGTTCAAGGATGGAGAAGATGGCCAGTCACAAGAAGAAGAGCGTTATCAACGCTGTGGACGAGGTACCTCGATGTCGGCTTCGATAACGACAGCTCAGTATGCCTTGGGTACGCAAGATGTCACTCACGCCCCCACGGCCGCATGCGACGACCGGCTGACCACGCCGTCCAAGTGCGGGTGGTGCAGGCCAGCTGAATATCTCCGGTGCGGAATGCGTGCACTGCTCGCAGGAAGCCAGCGATGACCGCTCGCTGCGTCTGAAGAGGACAGGCTGCGAGCAGCAACAAGCAAGATCAACATTGAGCCATCGGCGACGTCCAACGTTGGAATGCAACCGGGTCTACCAGGTTCTTGGACTGTTGATGAGCAACAATCAACCGCCGATCCTGTGTCGAAATGAGCAAATCCCTTGATGGTCGAATCAAAGGGCAAAGTTGCGTACATTTTGACTTTTGTAACAGCTGGAGAAAGGTTGAGGTCAGCTGGACATGACAAAAGGCAGAGACGCTGGGACGACGAGGATGAGGCCTACGGCGGAAGGGCGGAGATTCGGCACGCGAGAGCAAATGCCAAAATCAGACGAGAAACACACTTCCTGAATGGGTGACGAGCCAGCAAGAAAGACTGGGAAATTGGGTGACACGTATCGCATTAACGCATCGTCACCGAAGCCCAGGGCGCGATGCAACGGCGGTCGAGATAGGGCGGTACGGGCAAGCAATGGCGAGCACTGGGCTCTACAGAGCACAACGCATCAAAGCGACATTGCGGCATGCCATGGCGCGTGCAGAAAGGGCGTCGACGTAATAGAGTCTGGGGGAAACAAGACACCAATTACGGTTCCTCGGCACCTAGTTTTAGCGGACGACAAACATGGGATCATCATGTCAGACTGACCTCACAGGCCCTTTCGTCACCGACGGTACCTGTTGATGCTGTCGACGACTGGTTTCTTGGACGGCAAGCTCTGGCCGTCGAGCAAGGCATCATCGCTGCCATCGATTGCCTGCGTACTGACGGTACCTATTTCTGTACAGATGCGTTATGGCACTGCATCGCGAATGTATCTGACCAACTCGGCACGTTGGCCCTTTTACCCGACTCTGTGGTCCCTACTTGTAGAGCCTTGTTGAGATGCCCGAGCATTGGCTTTCATCTCCCCAGACCGGGCTTTTTCCAACGCGCGACGGCGGACGCAGGTACTTGTCGCCTCAACAGTATATAGCTTTGGTGGTACTTGATCCCACCTTGCTCATTTCACAGCGAGCCAGGCGCCGAGGTATACCGCGTCGTCCGCCGAGACTACCGCACGCCGCACGCCGCACGGAAGACGACAACCTTTTTGTTGGCAAGGAAGGCGCAAGTTTCGAGTCTCGCAGGACCCGGATGAGTGCATCGTTGGCTGCCGTCATCTTTTGCATGTCAAGTTGAAAGTGCGATAGCATGGCGCCGCCAACGCTGGCCTCGACATGGATATACACCGCAGCAGCAGCCGCAATCATGTTGGTGGTTGCACAAGACAGGGCAGAGCTGGCAGGATCCGACAAGGCCAACGTAAGGCGGGAATGCTGCCATGCCATACTTCATCGTGCAGTATGGACCCGGGAGTACAAGACAAGGCAGCCATCGAGGTTATTCTTGCCTGTGGCGCGTGGGTGTGTGCTAAAATCCTGCTGCCCGGGAGGAAGAATTCAAGATTACCAAAGACGGGACGAGGAGATTGTTTCGTCAAACGGGGTGCCATTGATGATCCAACGGGCGAGGCAATACAAGAAAATAAAGGACGAGACATCGGAAACAATACGCACGCAGCCCCTGAGGGGGCAAATGAGGTGGAAACATGGCGAGATGTGCAGCGGACGACTGTGCCACAGGCGAGACAGAGAGAGAGAGCCACTTGAGGACTTTGGGCCCTGGGGGATGAGGGACATGGGCCCGGTCTGGCGCGTGTGTTGAGTGCTGGCGTTGGGGTTTGGCGTGGGCAGTTGCTTCTGACTTGTCCCCGGACGGTGGTCTCGGGCGACGCACAAGACATTCCAACTGCGTGTGGGAGAGACAGCAACAGCGACAGAGACAGAGAGGAGTCATCCATCTCGCACACCCTCCCTCCTTTTCCATGCCAGCGGGACCCCTGTTCTGGACGAGAGCGGTGCACAT